GGACATTTTGAGAACTGCACCCAAGAACACACTGCAGCTCCCATCACAAAGACAAACAAAAGACGGTTCCAAAAATAACCAATTTAAAAAGTGTTCCAGTAATGTCCCAGCTGGAAACAGAAAGAGGTTACAGCAGGTTTATTAAATTAAATCATGAAATTCATACGGGTAGTCTCCTCCCCCCTGACAATTTACCCAAAAGTTATGCACAAAACATGCTATTCTTGGCTTTCAACCTTTCAAAGATCTGGTTGGTGTTTTGGTTCTCAGACTTTTTGCCAGGCAAAGCCAAGTTTTTTTTTCCAACTCAATGATGAGATAAATTGAATTGCCAAAAGCCAACTCATAAAAGAGATTTGAAGGGACTTGAATGGAATCAACAGAAAATTTATCTTGTTCCAGTCATTTGGGCTGCTGGTAGGACTGGCAACAATACTGTGTTTTTATTCAGGTCACTGGTGATGATGCAAAAAAAAGGAATCAAGCACATTTAGTAGTTCTGGTAGATGACTTAAATTACTTCCAGGAGCAAGCAACCACTTGTGAAACCTCAGCATAAGCGGTGTAGACATCAGCTCTCTGAACACTGTAGCTGTTTTTCACTTTTCACTTCATTTCATTTCACTTTAAGGAGTGAAATGTAATACAATTGTACAGGATCCAAATAGAGTAAACAGTGAAAAAGTCAGCAGATGACAGAACAGGAATGCATTCACATTAAAAAGAGAAAATTGTGATGGATTATGACTATGTGGCTTTAAAGCTACACATCAACTTCAAAGATTCAAATTCTATTTATTAAATTTGAGAACCCCTGTTTTAAATATAAAATGAGAAAGTTTATGCTAACATAGGCAAAGAGTTGGCTTCTTATTACATTTGAACAACTAGAAAGACTGAGGCTGTCCAGGCACCGCTGTGCCTAATGGAGCAACATGCTAACTTCTCACAGTCAACGTTCGCTATCTTAGTTCTGCCTGTTTGCATGCTAACATTTGCTAACTAGCACTAAACACAAAGTGGGGGAGAGCAGGGACAATTCAATCGCAGGACGAATGAAACACAGCAATTTTCTCAGAGCCCATACAAGTCTGATATCCAAAACTACCTCAGCACATACAGTACGCAGTACTTACCAGAACCACAAAAAATGGATACGTCACTCTTTCACTGAATGACAAGTTGTGTTTGTTGTTTCATATGCCAGGGTCATGATGACATGATAGATTGGTTAGTTAGTTAGTCAAAGTTTTACAGTATGGAAGCTTGTCAGGAGTCAGACAGGTAGCCATTCTACACTATTTAGATACTAATGAGGGGGGCGTGGTCCACTAGGCTGCAGGCCAGACCATCAGGATACTGGCAGCTGAGATCTAATGAAAATGCCCATTAACTGTTTGTTTTTTGATTAAGAAAAAGGAAATAATATGTTTGCAATTACATATTAAGGACACTGTCAAGCATTTTAAATAAAAACAAGAATAACATAAACAGTTTAAATGTATGTCATTGTGTTTTTTTCCATCCCACCCCTGTTTTTCATCTGCCACATCCGGTGGGGACGAATGAAACAATGCGCACCTTTTGTTTAAAATCAAATTATACTGAAGTCGTTACACATTTTGACAAGATAGCAGCTTGTATTGATAGAATATTGATCACAACAACAAATTATTTCTGTCTGTAACGTTATTTTTTTAAAAGGACATATCTTAAAAGTGTGTCAATTGTCTCTCCCCGACAGATGAGGCTAATGGGAATGTCATTAGTTTTTCAGGTATTTAGTACATAATATTTCCCCGAAATTCACAACTCTGACAGTCTATGACTGAACTTTTGTCTTTAGTCTCTGTAGTCTCTAATCTTTTTGTGATGTATGATACTTTGGGGGCTTTAAGTCTACAGTACAATCCTTCTCAGACCTTTGTCATAGGTATTAAAACACAGCTATTTCCCGTACAGACAAGTCATCGCCTACAGTATTTGTACCCTGGTGCACAACTAAAAAAATTCACCAGACAGGGTTGGGAAGTTTATGTTGAGATTAGTTGGCCCGGTGCCATATCAGCTTACTGGAATTGACCAAAGCAGGCATTCCAAGAAATTGCTCCTCCCTAGTTCAATTGTTTGACTCTCTATATAATCTACGTCAGAAGCAAAGTTTTTTCCATCTGAGTCACGTTATTCCTCCAACAGAAAAAGAGCAATGTGTTTGAGTGCAGTAGGCTAAATAGTTTATTTTGGCAAGTTATATATATGATCATTGCTTTCAACAAAACTATTGACATTAATTAAAGTTCTGGGAATCTCATGCCACTGGATCAACAACTATGGAACCGCTGATTTTAAAAGGGAGACGTTACACACAACAGTATAGGACAAGACAGAGAAGAATCAGTTTGTTGGACTAGATCATGGCTCAGTGACAAGCAGTGAAACATATAATTAATTCACTGACCTGTATGTGGAGGATTGATGTTTATTTTGCACAGTATGATCATAGTTTTAGACAATAAATAAAATAATTGCATAAAAACCTACAATCTAGATGAATGTAAAGGTGTGAGATTTCTTAGAAGCAAAATCAGAAAACTCACCAAAATAATATTTTCTACGTTGGATTCTATGTTGGATCTCTAAAATCCAGCAGTAAACGAAAGCAATGATTCCACCTCATTTAGTGTAATTCTTAACAAACTGATGCACAGGAGATTCAACCTGCATAGCATAAATGTCTGCAAGGAGTGTCGCCCACCCTCTGCACAACAACCAGAAATGACCATAGCAAGGATTCCCTTAGTGTGAAGGAAGAGGATACAGCCTCCAAAAGTTGTGACTAAAACAAGGACAGGTTTCCTTGCTGAATGGAGAATTCCATACATAAGTGTGTTTGGGAATTTCTCGGAGGAATGCAAAACATGTACATTTCTCAATTCGATCTATGTTAACTTTTAAGGACACCGAGACCATTTTACACGCCTTCATCTCATCACGCCTGGATTATTGCAACAGTCTTTTCACCTGTTTAACCCAAAAATCTACTGATCGACTCCAGATTGTCCAGAACTCAGCTGCCAGGCTTTTAACCAGAACAAAGAAATATGACCACATTACTCCTATTTTAGCTTCATTACACTGGCTCCCAGTTGTTTTAGAATTGACTTTAAAATTTTATTGATCACTTTTAAAGCTCTTCATGGCCTCTCGCCTTGTTATATTTCTGAACTTTTAGTCCCATACACACCACGCACCTTGAGATCCTCGGGCAGAGGTCTGTTGTCTGTTCCAGAGTCTCGACTGAAAACTAAAGGGGACAGAGCGTTTGCTGTCAGGGCCCCGAGGCTCTGGAACAGCCTGCCCGAGGAAATCAGGTCGGCTGAGTCAGTGAACTCTTTTAAGTCCCTTCTTAAAACATACTTTTATAGGAGAGCCTTTCCCGATCTTATTTGACTTTATTTTATCCCTTTTATTTTATTCTATTTTACTTATTTTATATTTATCTTAAACGTGTATTTTAGTCTTTTAAATTTTTTCTTGCTTTTATCTTGTATTGTTTTTGTATTATTGTCTTTTGGGTATTATTGTCTTTACACTTGTTAAAGCACTTTGTAACTTGCTTTTGCAAAGTGCTCTACAAATAAAGATTATTATTATTACAGTACATTATTATTTCTTTGTTGTCTTAGTGTGGCCTTAATAGAAAACAAGACTGGCTGCTCAGTTCAAGCTGTTTTTGTGTGGCAAATATTTGCTGTTATGCTTCCACTGGTGAATTTAACCTCAATTTCCGCTGCAATCTTCATTCATGATTTTCCACTTCCTTGTGCCTAGCTGCATTAATGCAAACTTTTCTTTCTCTGGTTCTTATTGCCACTGAAAATAAAAAGTTGGTTGACACTGACTTTCTCAACTTGAGTAGAAGAACTGCGTTTATTCCAAGGTCTTGGATTTTCATCTAAGCTGCCTGTTAGCCCACTGTCCTTCATATGCTGAAGCTAAAAGCTGATCCCTCTTGTTTTCTGAGGGTGCATGTTTCCCTCATTTTCATTTGAGCAGGACCTATTATAACCTTGATGGGGTCTCTACTCTCTAGGTATCCCCAAAGCCTGACTGGTTCAGCTGCAGGGCTCTGTCACCTGAAATAGTCAGGCCAGGAAATAGCCAAAGCAGCTTGGAAATAGCAGGAGCTTGGATGTTGGACAACGACATCCCTAGCCTCCTTTCCAGGGCGTTTTTTGGGCAAAAAGCACTGCAAAAACTGAGCTCTCAAAAACAAGGAAAAAAGCATTAAAATGGGTGAAATATTACTTAAAATAAGCAATATTATCTGCCAACAGAACAAGAATATTTCACTTGCTACTTAAGGCCAAAAAAACTTCAAACAAGTGAAATTTTCTAACATAAAAGCCGCCAGGTAAGAAGAAATATCTTGTCAGACAAAAAAAAATTATGTTTGGTCTTCAATTAAGATAATTAATCTTACTAAGATTTTAGTTTTTGCAGTGAGGGTGTGCCACTGCATGTCAGCCAGAGAATCTTAAATAGCCAGCTGTACTCAAAGGGTAAGGGCCTTTTTCCAACATTGAGGTATTGCATGTCACGTGACACAAGCATGAAGCAACCTTTTAATATTCCAGCTTGCTCCATTTGAACAAAAAATGTGACTGGAAATGAAGAGACAATCAAATAAAATATAAGTATAACTTCTTGATGCTGCCTTTGGCCCTATTAGCAATAACACAATAAAAAACAGGCAGACAATGTCTTAGGCACCACATTCCAGCAAAGACAATTTGTTTCACTGTTCTTCATTCCAAATATCTCTCAAAAAATGAACAATGCTTTCAAAGACACATGTAAAGAAAATGCACAGAGGACACAGATCGGATGTGTGTGAGTTCCATGGCACTGAGTCAGACTGATATGTCTTTAATGGCATTTCATGTGAATTTTGTGCAGAGCATGTTGATAAATTGACCTGTAAGGATCTGGCTCAGGTTTGAGTCAGAGGAGTGGAATGGATCCAGGCAAGTCCGGAGAAAACTATTTAAATGGGGGGAGCTGCAAAGAGGCATGTATCATCTCTCTGTGATATTAAATGTTACAGGAGTAAAGTCCAAAAACACAGGTAAGAATAATATATATTTTTAAATATTTTTATTTTATTTCCCATGGTAGAACAGAAATAATACAATACTCAAGTTTAACATATTTGAAATTAATTTATTTGCTCTAATGCAAAAAGTAAAGCTGAAAACTGATAGTGATTGTGCAGATTTTTTATTTTGTTTGTCATTCATATACTTGATTTAAAAATAATAATATTACCATAATTAATTTTCTTTTGTAGGATGCACATCCTTCTGGCTCTTCTTTATGTCTCCATTGTAGCGGCTCCTGGATGTTCAAGTCTTCCCACAAAGGGAGACTCAATCAGAAATACCATACACAGCATAATGAATATAGTTCAGATAACTCTGGTCCACATTAAGAAACTAAGGACAAAGGTATGTAGAGTGTCTATAAAACACATAGTTATCCAGTTTTTCACAGTGGAATCTAATCAGTGTTTTAAGAAAGAGTATCCTTTCCCTTCTTGTTTTATAATGTTTTTATCATTATATCATCTGTTTTGCAAGAACAAGTTTAACTTTAGACCATATTTTACCAGAACATGTATATCATAATCATTTAATAGAGTAATGATATGCATCATTAAAGTAAGGATGTTTTGTTTATTCAAGATTAATCAACACACTGATATACAGCTCACATGTTCTTCTCCTTCCCTTAGTTGCCGTGGCTCCACAGATAGAACTGAGCACTCCTTCCATTGAGGGACTAACTAGTATCAGCCATGACCTGGGACTTTTGGATAATGAACTGCAGAGCCCATTCACAGAGCTCCTCAGTCAGATCCAGGCTGATGTATCCAGCTTGGAGGGAAGAGTGCGATCCTTGGCCATTACAATGGAATGTCCCATCCAGGCCAGACCCGGAGGACATATCAGTAACAATTCGTTCCCCGACAGTCACCTTTACCAGACTCTGACTAAGGTGCAGCGCTACCTGGAAAAGTTTCTTCTCAGCAAGGACAAACTCAAGGTTTGCTGAGAAAAACACTTAAATCACACATATGCCAAATCTTGTCATAATGCAAATATAAAGGCTTATTTGCACAGTGTAGTCAACAGTATTTTTAAAATAATATTACACATAGTCACATAGTGATGACCAAGCATGTGAAAAACATTTTAAAATAATTCTCAATACTCAAAAATGCTTATCATCTGGTTGCTAAAAATTGCATGTAAGGCAAGTAGCTTCTGATGTGCTGATTTTTATGTACATTTGTGTAACATTTTGTCCAAGATTTTATAGAAGTTTGAAAATATTTGTACTATAGATTTATTTTATATTATCTTTAGACTTATTTATATTATTATATAATTATATTTAAATTGGTTGAATTGAATAAATATAGATATGAATATATATAGCAACTGATGTTTCTTCCATTAGGGTTTATGATTTAAAACATGTTTTGTATGTTGGCAATGTTAATGGTATTTAATTTGAAGTGCACTGTTTATTGTAGTATTTTACAGAGCAGAAACATTACTCTGGTTAGTAGGATTAGAATTTTTAGCTTAAATGTCATTTGTTTTATTATACTTTGCAATAAAGACTTTAGTCAATATCTGTTGCCTTTGCAATATTTGAAAATGTTTTTTTTTTATTCGATGAGAATATTTAAAACTAATTTCAGTATTTGAGTTTTCTCAAATAAAATAATGAATCATGTTTAAAGTGTTTATACAAAAATATAGCCTAAATGAAATTAAATATAAACGTTGTTTTTTGTAAAAAACCCACTATTATAAGTATAATGCGTATGTTACAGAAAAACAAGACACTATTCTTAATATCAAATTAAAATAGTCAAATTTTAATGTGTATAAAATGAGGTTTCCACAGTAGTGTAACATCATAATAATAATGTTGTGGCTGAGGATGAGGCATGGTTCGCTGCGAGAAAGATAGTCACTTAGAAATCAGTCTCACTTCAGAAATCAGTCTTGTGGTATTTGCTTTATATGTTGCACTTAAATGGTGACCACAGCCATTAGACATTGAAAAGCATAATTATTTAAAGTAATGTTATTTATTTTATACAGTGAACTCAACTTATTATGTTTACAGCTTTTCATTATATCAATTTCAGCCATACGGGAGAAGCACAAGAATGTGCTGATAATGGTTGAACTCTGACCCACATAAAACACACTAATACTAACATTAAGCAGAGCAGCCTTGTGGCACATACACAGCTGTAAAATATAACATTACTCTAAAAACTTTATCCCTCACATGTAAAGCAAGGCAAGTTTATTTGTATAGCACATTTCAGCAACTCAACAGGGAAATATATTAAAAAAAGACATTTAAATACAATTTTAAAATAATTAAATAGAAAATTAAAACAGGTTAATGTATCTGGTAAACCTATTTGTTCACCCATAATTGTAATGGGTTGCGAATAATTAGGCTTTACACCTTCCATTGATTACTTTTTTGATTTCCTATCTCTAACACCATACCTCGTACGATATTTATTTCCTCTTATTCACGATAGTCACCTCATGTAAGTCATACAGAGGGGAATACAGTGAAGAGATCACTTTTCTGTTTTTTTATTGTATTGGTGAGAAGAATACATGATCAAAATGAGTTAAAACCAGACAATAAACAATGCAAAGTAAATGCAATTCCTATTGTAAGCATTGTACTTATTTTACTTTGTTCACTTTTATTAGTTATATGACTATAAGGGGAAAAAGATCTTACAAAAGTTAATACAGAATGAAAAAGTTTATTCCTCACAACGAGCACTACCTCTAATGAGAATCTAGGTTTACATACATACAAATAAAGGATGTTTGAAAAATATTAACAAATCAATCTAATGGAGAACATTCATGATTTGTGAGAACATTTATGAAGCCCTATAAAGGAGTTGTAACAGAGATGGGATAACAGGGGATCTGGTGGGGAATACAGGAAAGAGAACTACTTGTGCATGTATATGTAAAAAAAAATGCATACTGTTTGTAAAGTCGTACTGTGTAATATATTCCATGCAAGGGCTACATGCCAAAGCCTGAATGAACACACATTTCTCTAGTATTTACTTATCAGCTGGGACGTCTGGCTTTCTATCATGTCTAAGCTGATCAGCTGAATAAAAGACAAACCTTTCCATTAATATTTTTTTATTATAGGCTTTTACTTTTCATTAAAATGAGGTCTTCAGTTGCCTTCACCTCGCTCATTTGGGTGTAAAAATTAGAGTTTACTACCCTCTCATCTATCCAGCTTTTTTGCACAGCTGTCATGGCATGGCCACATTTATTCATTTGTAAATGACACCCTATCTCTTGTTTTTCTATGTTGTTATTTGTAGCCTACTATTAATTTTGTAGACTTTCAGTACCCAGATAGTCCTCAATACAGTAAAATGTGTCAAAAGTTGGTCTTTATTCCTATGTCCTACATCCAACATTTGTGTTTTGAATTATATTTTGACCTAGCACTGACCCTGCAGTAAGTGCTGTAATAATCTACTGGGCTCTCTAACAGGCGACTATTCTCTAGCCCTGAACTTAAAGTACCTTTAACCAGCTTTTAAATCCTACTCTTGCCCAATGTAAAATAGCAGGAACTCTATGGTTTGATCCGGTGTTCTGATGATCTATGCTGCCTTGTCGAAAAATGCTACCTTATGTGTTCCCTTTTCCAATCCCATAAAGTTATAACTCTCACAGTATTATGACATACTGTTTTTTCATTATATTACAACATCATTTGGTTAGCGTCTGTAGCTACCTGTCAGAAGCTCCGTCTTAAACCGGACTCTTATCCAGTTTTAATCCACAGTTTTTCGTTACATTTTTTATATCCTTTTTATTTAACTTAAGTTTTTAACTTAACTTTTAACTTTTTTTACGTGGGTTAAGGATTTTAGCCATCCGACATGGATTTTAAGCTAGATGACCGTAAAAACGCGATCAACGCTACTGACAACAACAAAGCTCCGGTGACTGTGCTAGCCGAGATAACTCTGCCCCATGAGGACTGCTCACTCCTTAAGAAAGCGAACAAAAAGATTGCTGAC